CAACATACCCCAACATGCCTCAACATACCCCAACATGCAACCAACATACTCCAGCATACCCAGTATACCCAGCACCACCAACCCTTCGGCTGTCAGCACGACAGTGCATGTAAACTCGGCTCCCAGCCTTTTCTCCCAAGTCAAGAGCAGCTGAGTTCTTCAAGTCAGCGACCGTTGAGCATTACTTCCACATACAAGCTAGCTAAGAAAGGAAATGCAGATGAGGGCCTCTGCAGTCATTCAGCCCACTGGCCACTGCTGCTTTCATTGCCAATAGAAAACACAGTGGATCTTCCTCTGGTCTTCATATTTCTGTCCATGTCTCTTGTTTCCACTGCTCCCCTCCTCTGGCAAGCAGATGTCACCCAGAAGTGAAGAGACGAGTGAAGTTAGGCGTTTTCAGTGACTCCTTAGGAATAATTTGGCTGCTGGATCTGGCTTAGAAAAGAGGACATGTTGTTTTTGTTTAACTTCAACCAAACATGTCATCTGATTCATCTTCAGGATTGTTTCAGTTTGCAAATATTTTTTCTAATTCAACCGAGCCGAGATGACTGCCTCAAAAAACAGGAAAAAAAAATCTGATATACCCAAGAATTGTTGTTGATATACATTTTGTTGTGTTATTTTCTATATCATAAGTTAGATATGTCAGGTAAATGGATAATTTGAACCAGCAATTGATATGTGTCCTCATGACCTGTATGGATGCACACTTATTTGAAGAAACTCTGCTGTTATTTACCTGATTGTTTGGGATCTACCACACATTTGGATGATTTACTGAAGAATTTTTGTCAGCTGAATTTGACCACTGTGAAGCTCCATGATGTCTTATGGGCCAGATTTAAGAAAGGACTCATAGCGGCAGTAGCACAGGGCTGCAAGGTTTGGGGGCCCCAAAACCTATTATTTTTTGTATTGTGGATGTTTTACAAAAAATTCACCTCATAATAAACTCATAATAAACACATGTTTTTTAGTGTTCTTGGATTTTTATTCATTCAAACACTCAAATATTCAAAAATTATGGAGTTACAGCACATGGAGCAATCTGCCTGATGGTTTTGATCGATTCTACTGACCTGCTTATTACTGTAATTTGCACAAGTAAAATATTTCCTGTCTTTGTTTTTTTCTCTGGATAGAGCACCAAAACTGACTCCAGTCGAGGAACCCTTATTCTTCTGAATCGGTTCCTGCTCATACATTCTACTTACATGCCTTTGTTTCTATGATGCTTATTTAATAGCTAATATCTGCAAATTTTATAGGATTGTTTTTATTCTCTAATCTTCATTTTTGAAACAGCAGCAAGTATATGTTTCATTTGACCTGTGAAGACTTTTATGCTTGGAGCTTTTTACTCAATATTTTACCACTTATGGAAAATATTCATGTTCAGAGTAAAAACATCAATTTAAGCTTTTATTCTTCTTGTAAGAAATTGTATGAACTGAATGCTTATATGTAGTGAATAAGCAAATCATTCAATCACTGGATTTTAAATGAGCACCTTAAACAAAGGAAATGCAAATGTACATATAGATTGAGTTGTTTCCATCTGCCACTTTCTGTGCATTTATAATTCAAGCTAAAACTGTTTGTAAAGTCTGATAAGTTGCTTATTTTCATAAAATGTGTTCTGTATTTGGGCATAAAATAAAATATCTAAAAAGTCAGATCTGCATTGTTTATTTACACATCATGATGACATAAATTATTTACATGTTGTCTAAAAAGGAGAATTTTATCAGAAAAGGACAAAAACAACTGAAAACATAAAATCATTACGAAACAGAAGCAATTTAAGGAAACAAAAATGTTGACTGCATTTTAAGGCTTACATTTGGTTTGGATTCATATTCATCTGATCCGCCAAACATTGCATTCAAAGACAGGTTTGTGTAGAAAAATAAATTATGTAAACATGTCAGAGCTCTTTGCTCTGGATTCTGGCTGTGTTGGATATAAATAAGAGCGCATGATCCCACTTATTGACACCGATAGTTTGCTGGGAAATTGGGGAACTGCGATAAGGCAGCACTGGAACCACAGATCCAAAGGCATTTCCGGTCAGGTCCATAAATGATTGAAATCCTAGAAAACTAGCAGCTCTGCAGGTGCCTGCTGCCAGGTCAGCTCTAAAATGAAACATAGCGGAGCATTGACTCACAAAGGAAAATGTAGCAACAGAACAGCTGGACAAACAGAAGGCCTACCATGAAGCGGCTGAAGCCGCTGAGCTGTCTTTGGGTTCCAGCAGCCACGCTGTCAGCCGGTGGTTCCGGCCGGCCTGGAGCGCTCCGAGCCGCTCCGAGCGCTCCGAGCTGAGCCTGCAAGACGAAAGAACTCTACATCTAAAATATTTCAAAAGATTTGAATGAGGCTGCTTCCGGCTGTATCGCAGTTTGCCACGCGCGGCGTGCAGCCATGTCAACGCGCGCTTTAAACAGTCCAGCGCGCAGAACTGTGAGGTGTCAGACGGCGGCGGTGCAGAGCCTCAGGATGCTGGTGGTGTGATGGCTTCAGTCGCTGTCGGAGCGGGCCTCCGCCTCTCGGCCGGCGGAGTGGTTGTACAGCCCCTGCGCCATCAGGTGCTCCGCCAGAGAGTTCTTCTTCCCGGTGGCCTTTTTAATCTTGGCCCGCTTGTTCTGGAACCAGATTTTGATCTGAGACTCGTTGAGGCTGAGCTCCAGGGCCAGGTTCTGCCTCCGCTGCTCGGTGAGGTAGCGGTTCTTCTGGAACTCCGCTTTCAGCCGCTGCAGCTGCTCGGCACTGAAGGCCGTCCGGGGCCGCTTGTCCTCCTTGCTCGGGGTCGGGGCTTTCTTTGGTTTGCGGGATCTGGGCCCTTGTGTGGAAAAGAGAGAACAAAGCATCCAGTTAGCTCGTTTTCAAATTTTGTTGAAAGTTTTTGTGATTTAAACGGACAGAGAAAGGCGCCGTTCCCCGAGATGCACTCTAAACTTCTTGACATGAACATCAGAGACTTTTCTTGTTCATTGGTGAATTATCTCAGGGACCAAACTTCAGAATGAAGGACGCGATTTATTCTGAGGCAAAACCTCTGACGTCCTCACTACATCTTTAATAGGAAACTTTTAATATTTCCTTAAATCAGATTTGGATCACCCGTTTTGTGTTTCCCCAAAATTGCGCAATGTTTGGGGTTTAAGACGAGGATTGTTATTTCTGCTCCGTGGTCTGAGTCGCAGGCCTTTCGTGGGCTGGAGGTCAAATGCCTGTCTGTTTTTATTATTCAGTATGACATTAAAGTTTAAAACTGGTTTTAATAAAAATCTAGCAAAAAATCAGCTGGATCAGACTGAATAAAAACAGAAAGAAAAGACATTTGATCAAACCGAGCTGCAGATGAACTGTGGCCTCGTTTCAGGCTCAGTTCGGGCCCGAACGTTAAAACACTTTTTCGTATTTTCGTGAACAAAATCAAACTACTTTTGCATCGCTTGTAGTGGTAGTTCTCCGGATGCTCAATGCATTCCGTTTTTATTATTATTCCTCCTTTAGTTATTTTTTAAAATATGTAGAGGAAACACTCTGACTAAGAACACATGTGACGTGTCACAACTTTTCACTCAGATGAATTAAATGTAGCCGCAGATCAGAGGTCAGTTTTTCTTTCTTGCTTTCTAAAAGGCGGTTTAAAATGTTTCAGGATTTTTGGTTTTCACGGCCCCTCACTTTTTTACACTCGCCTCCTCTCCCTCCCCCCCGCTGCACCCCCAACTCTTTTGTTAGAAAAAAAATGCAAATGGTAAAATAACAAAGAAGCGGGGAAACGATGACGTTAAACTTGGTTTTACTTCGGTATTTTATGTTTTTGACTGTAAAACATGTTTTGTCCATTTCACTTTTATTTTAATAAAACACTTTGTGTCCACTTTGGCAGATTATTACAGTCAGAAAAATCAAAAGTCAAAAACCCAAGACCTGCAGAAAGCGTTCGACTCACGATGAACATGCTGCATGAATCATAAATGATCTTTCTATAAATGCTTCATGTTTTATTTTGATCACGGCTAAATTATTCTAAGAATATAATATTTATATGTTGGTGCAATAACGGCTAAGTCTTTGTTAAAAGTGCTTCGTTTTTTCTTAAAACTATTGTTTCTGCTGTTCAACTAATTTTAAAATACTCTCGATCATATTTTAAAGTTTAAATAAGATTTTTTTTCCTTCCGTAGCCTTTCCCACAATTTCATGTTTTATTTATTTATTTTTATCTCAGATATAATATTTATTTTTATCTGTAAAATTCGCATTTTACTAAATGTATCTACAATGATGTGATTGAGGGAACATTTTCCACCAACCTGATGAAGGCCGGTCGGAGTACCTGGTACAATAAACCCAGGCCGGCCACAGCATCGGCTTGGCTGCTGGGCCCGCAGGAGCCGCCGGGGCCTCGCTGCTCTCGGGGCTGCGGCAGGAGACCCCTCGGCCTGAGTCGCAGGCTGTCAGCCCGGGACCACTCGCCTCAGTCTCCGCATGCTGGTGGTCGGACTTCCCCAGGCTGTCCTCCCTTCCTCCTGTCCTGCCGCGCTTTGAGTCCGTTTTGGAAGCTTTTCTCCCTGACACCTCGCTCCTCTCCTCCAGCCCGTCTCCTCCCCGAACACATAATGTGCTTTTCTTTCTCTTTCGGCCAAAGTCCGGCCTTAGGATGTTGTCTATGTAGAAGTTGGTGACCCGGTTGGACTGCTGAATCCCGGGCTGCTGCAGCAGAGGCAGAATGGCCCGGTTGGGCTCCTCTCCAGACCTCTTTGGACGCTGACGTTCTCCTTGAACATTTTCCTCCATAATGATGATGAGCTGAAGCTCCAAAGAAAGAGATCCAAGTTTCTGATTAGTCTCTGTCTTCCTTTGAGCAATTAGCTGATGCCGTTAGAAAGAATGAAAAATAAAAATTCGATAAAAAAAGCAGGCAGTGTGTTTGCATCTGAGGTAAAAGTGTTCAGTTCTGAAAACGCGCCTGTGAATTTCGGCCCAGAACAATCATGCTTTCTTTGTGATGAGAGCATCCCTCTCCTCTCTGCTCTCACTCCTTCACTCCACTGCAGCACAAACTACCTGTTACATTAAAACAAACGAACCAAAGTGTGAAAGCTGCAGACTGCTCCAGCTCAGTTAGAGAAGCTTCCTGAAGCACTAAATCCTCTTGATGAAAATGCCGCTCAAATACTTCCACTAAACAATTTTGGGTCTGATTTCTGATTGGCTGCAGGATTCTGGGCTGACGTCGTATTACGGGCCTCATGAACACGTGTTTTTGACCAATAGATTCACAGAATATATATCATGTGGAATTCCCTTTTCTAATCAGTAGATTATGCCTGTGTTACATATACAGTCATACTCAATAAATTCCGTTCGGATGAGGCTCTTCTGCCAGATTACAGTTTTTCTCAGTTGCTTTGGTGGATTTCTCGAATCATTTTCTACATTTACAAAACATTAAATGCATTTCTCAAAACAATTTGTATTGTTTTTACCTTTGTAGATTCTGCCCGGGTTACCTATAGAATCTACAGAATCCAGTTTATTTCTCAAAATTCTTAATTCATGTCTCAAAATGAAATATCTGTATCAATGAACATGTCAAAGATTCAGAATATTAAGTCCTTGTTTCATTGTGTTTGGATAAGAGTCAGATTGACTGTCAGTGTACTGTAAACAGGGTGAAAGAAGGGGGGGGAGGGGGTATGGCAGGGTACTGCGTACCCCTAAAAGATTTAGC